TTCGCGCAATATTTGAATCTCGCTGCCGTGTTAATATTAGATAGGTATTTAGAATTTAGATATATTAATAATCGCAATCAAAAGCTCATCAATTGTTAAACCCTCGGRGGGTGTCTGTAACCGGACCACGTGGAAAAATAACATAAATGATTGACACTTCACACCATGTCCGTTTCATCACTTTTGATCGCGAATAATATTCAGACAATAAAATTGGCCAAAAGAGCATTAACAGGGTCGAGGGTCGTGGTCCAAAATGTGACCTGCTGTCAATATTTTACCTACCTCGCCTAAAATGTAAATTTAAAGCTATAAACATATTCCTCAAAGATTGAATAGATGCTGATTTGGATATAAGGAACACCACAATATTTTTCTCGAAGTTGCTCATTATAAGTAATGAGCAAGGTTAGGTTTTGGTTCGAATATTGAATTGATTTTTCGTACCGTTAAAATTTACTGACCAATACATTTAAAAATCAGTATAGGTGAAAAAAAATAGGAGTTTTAAGGAAGTAGTTATGTTAATCTAGTACATTTCATATTATTCAAATACCTAAACCCGAATTACATAAGTATAAATAATAAATTGTTATATTTGAATCGTTATTATACTGTAGGCCGTCAAGAAAAAAATAAATGGCAAAAAATATGTATACATTAAACAATGGCAATATTGTATATAAACTATATAAGACCGGTGATATTTCCGGTATACCGGTAATATTAAGTTTGGTGGTATCTGGTATATTTGATACCTATATTTGAGAATAACGGTAAACTGCGATTCGTAATTACAGTCGTTACTAAGAATAACATARAGTACGAATAGTACTTTATAATCGTTTCGATAATATGATAGGCCCGTATTATATTCGGAAAAGATATTTTTGGTAGTGTAGTGTTCAAACCATGTGCAGACATAAATGGTCCGTTGTAGTACTACTAGTACTACTTAGTACTTAGTAGTTAGTAAATTATAATATATGGTCGTCCACAACTCACAAGTCACAAATACAAAAAGGTTAGGAATCATTGGCATAGAACAGTTTATAGAACTAAAATAAAAAAAGGGTTTAGATCTACAAACTAAAAATCCCTCCATTTATATTAAAAAATTAGTTCATTCACCAAGTACCGTGAAAGTACCATAGATACCGTGGCGTGGTAGTAAACAAATACCAGATACCAGCATCAAAATTTAAAAATAAATACTACCAGCCTTTGACTATTAAAAATAGGGTATAGATATTCAAGAATATTGCAATAATAATTTTAAGGACCCGCAACAAGAGTGCTGCTAAATTGTCTATCTAAAACGCCGCGGGATCATGACGTGCTAGTTGTAGTTGACTTAAAAAATGAAATATTATAATAATACTGATCTATTTATTAATATAAAATACACAATAAAAGGAAACACCATTTGATAAAAATTGTACTTAAATATACGCTCCTCTAATAATATAATATAATAAAATATAATATTCTTATAAGTTATAAGTCATGTTATCACAATCGATTATAAAATATATTTATTCATCTATCTAAGTATACTGATAAGAGTTTATTACATTGATTTATAATCATTAATCAATGATGATATTATATTTCAATCATCTTATTGATCAAAAGAAATTACAATCAAATTACTCGTTTCATTTTCAAAACGTCTAAAGTCTTAAATATTGTCACGGATCCTTTTAATTTACTTGAAATTAATATATTGTATTTTATTCAAAGATTATTTGTTTTAAGTTTACATTTTTGAAGTCCAAATTGTTTCGTTTTGATATTGTTCTTGAATTTGTATCGGTTCACTAAAAATTAAAATAAATATTCCAATTAAATTAAAACTAAGCTAATGGGTGTTTAGATAAAAATAAAAAAACTTGCAAATGTTTTCTTAGAAGTTCGTCTAACTCGTCTTTATTTGCACACAAAAAAATACTACAGTTTTTTATTCCTTTAAATACATTGGCTACGCTGGGCTTTAGGCTATACAAATATACAGATTGGCCWTTTTTTGAAAAGTCTCGTGACATCATGGAAAATACCTGTAAATAAAAAAAAATACATATATACATAAATATTATTATCATCTACCAAAGTTATTATATCTGGGCTACTTGTAAAATTCAGTTCAGAGGATGTGAAATTTATAAAAATTATCGAAATTTTCGCGCTAAATTACCAATTGCCCTCGAGAAGAACAAAATAATTGCCTTAAAAATATTTTAATTTAAAATTACTCAAATACGTCAATATTGGACTGTCAGCCGTTTGTACCCAATTCGAATATTTTGTCTAAATGATGATATATAAACTTTATAAGTTGYATTTTTAAAATTGCATTGGTAGAAAATGATTTTCAAATCCAACTGAAATTATAATCATATTATACAGTTACACACATCATTATTCTTGTTTATTTTTATTTTTGTGCTTCAAGACAAGAAGTCATTATGATTTGTAGGTATTCATTTTTTACATTTCTGGAGAGAGAAGGAGTTCAAGGTATGCATGTGTATGTGGTACGTACATTTGCCGTTGTGAAATCAGCCTCAAATATCCTGGAACCGTCGATGACTACCGGGAGACCAAGAGCGAAGCTATGTTTAGTTATCGTCTGCCGTACGTATTCCATCGAAGGGAATATCAAATACCTGTCAGGTGTCAGCAACAAATATTTGATCCCGTCGTGGTTCTATGAAGCAAAAAATAACAAGCTCAACATGCGAAATAATATGAGTATATAATATGTGTACGCACATGTACGATTGATGTATAATGAGGGTCTAGGCCAAAATAGCGAAACAATTTACCGCGAATGTAAAAATCGCGAATCGATAATAGCGTAAATAAAAACAACGAATTTTAYAATAAGCGATCATGCATAATAACGAAACTTAAAATTATATATAATTTTAAATGYCTYATAGCGAAATAATTTTAGGACAAAACCCTATGCAGGTAGGTCACAATAATATTGATATCGTTATACCTACTGATATCGTCAATATGGTATCTTAATTATTATTTAACTTATATACATATAGAAAAAATGGATAAGATTGTCAATCGCGTTATAATTATATTATAAATATAATATATTTGAGATTTGAGCTGACACAATTTAATACCTACAGTTGTAGTTCGACAGTACGTAAATGTGTAGCTTGTATTATTTAACTTAATATTTTCGTATATTGCTGGAGAACAACCACAGAAAAAAAAAGTACAAGGACTGTAATAAAAGAATTCATGCATTAGTTACAAATTATAATACTAATGAGCATAAGAATTTCATTAAAGGTATAGCATATAATTTGTCACTGAATGCTTAGATATAATTATGTTTAAATTTAATATAATTATTTTATTTAAAATTATTATTATTACTACTATAAATACTTATTATTAGAACTTAACGATATTATAATTATAATGATTTTTCATTTATATTCCACGATCACTCCATATTTTATTGTATGCTTTACTTTTTTAAATTTATTAATCTCATTTATAAACTATTTTTATCCATTTTTTATTGTAACAAATATGTTTGATTTTTACACTGTGTCATATTATCAWCCCGACAGACAGATGTTTCTCTCTTTGCTATTATGTATTTTCGCTCTTTTTTACAATTCGCTATATTTGTTTACGCTATTATCAATTCGCGATAATTGTTTCGCTATTTTGGCCGGATGCCGTATAATAATATTAGAGCAGAGAACTTATACATAATCCCTAAAAAAGTATTAAATATCATGYAAGCACTTATGCACTTAAAAATCCCAAGATATGCACTTCAATTTGTTTTAAAAATAGTATACATAATTTAAATAAAATAAATAGCATTAGAAATAATAAAATACAGCTGTACAAATAAATAAAAAAAAACTTCTTTGACACTTGAATGAAACTTCGAATTGTAACTATATTTATTTATATTATAGGAAAAAGACTATTACATTGATTGATCGGTGAACAAAATTATAAAACAACGGGTTTTCGAATTATTATTAAAAAACAAATTTGTTAAAAAGAGTCCATAGAAAAACCTAATTATGTCTTAAAATTCAAAAACTCCTAAAGATGTGAAAATATGATACTTATACAGTTACAGATAGGTTTTTGTCGCAAAAAAAAACAAATTTGTATCAGGCAGACCTTTTTTACGGTTGCACAAAACAAAATATGTACAAATGCTAGAAACCCTCTGCTCTAATAAAATTTGTTTTTAATTTTGAAGTCGACGGAGGACCTAACCTTTTGCACTTGGATAGATATTTTGGGTTTGGCAGCACTGCACATTATGAAACCAACATTCGCAACGATGCCGATGAGCACACCATATTCCAATGGAAGAAACAAACACGCRAAGAACGTGATCAACATGAGYATCAAATCTCTTTCTGAGGACATCCAAAGAAATGCGTTAATCGTTGTGACAATAATAATAATAATAGGTAATAATAGGTACATAGGTACTCGTAATTATATTATATTATAGAGTGAATCCTGTCTTAACGGACACCTCTAGATAGAGGACATCTCTTTCAAACAGATAATGATAAATCTCGGAAAGTATTCTACTGTGCCTAAAAAGGAAACGTCTTAAGATGGTTTCATAAAACGTGAATGTCCKCTATATACAGGTTTTACTGTATTAATATTATGTTATTATAACTCGTTTTTTTAATTTTTTCGTTTTTAGATGGCATATTATGATGGACGTGCAAAAAAAAAACATTGCTGGACTGTTTCAGAAATGAGCTGGTGTAGGTTGAAATATATGTTATTATATATTATCGTTTAATGTACTCGAATCAAGAAAAAAAATGTTTTCAATGTTTTATACGCACTTTTTTCTATAGGAAATTATTTTTGAATGGGAAGGGAAGACGTTATGCGTTAATAATATTAATATATTATATACAGCCACAGATATAGATAAAGATAATAATATACTAGATGTCTAGATTGCTAACTGTTCTTATTGGTAATGGGGAGATTTCATGGATATTTTTTAATGGTATTTCATTTTCTAGTACTCACATTGGCAAAATATAGGTACATTTAGGTCATCCATATCAAATTTTGATTTTTTCTTTAATATATAAAGTAATAGTATTATTATCAAAATTTAAAAATTTAAGATTAATTTTAACCAGCACCTGTACTCYAGATTTAAMAGCCTTCTCCTTATGATGGCTCTTGGTATAATTTGAACATGTCGGTAAAATTTATTTATTTTTCTAGRGAATACTAATGGGTAATTTCTACAATACATTTTTGACCGATGTGAAAAAACGWATTAAATATATTTGATTTATAATATATTCATAGAATAGGGGAGGAATGTAGTAATAAATACCTACTTATAACACTTTTTGGGAAATTTTTMCCACCAATTAGCTATTATTTTTATATCGTAGGTACTACATTTTTATTTCACATGATCCAGTATTATTATACACATACCGTGTAATTCTAAGACGTTATCGTAAAATTTTCATAATATACGTACTTTTTGACCTGTAAATGTGTTTAACCACCTTGACATCAACCATCATAAACGAGGCGGCGATTATAACGGCGGCCAGCGAGGTCTTCGGAATGTAATAAAAATATGGTGTCAAAAACACCAATGCCGCCATAACAGTGAGTCCTAAACTTTAAATTCCATTACAATTTTTTTTGCTAACACGTGGTGGTGTACCAATATATCTAAACGTAATCATTAATTGTTTGTTAAAAAAAAAATTACCTGTGAATAGGCCTCCAAGAGGCGTGCGCACGCCGCTGGAATAGTTGAGTGCTCCTCTGGCAATGGCTCCAGTTCCGGTGAA